TGTATCCTACCACTGAACACTGCCAGCCTAAATTTAAAAGATAATAGTAACAACTGAAAAGAAGTGAGCATAAAGAAATAGAATTTACTAACTTAATACCTAAATATTATTTTAGTGGCAAATTAACAAACAGGATTAAAGAGAGAATTGTTCTAATGTTATACAGTAAATAACACAGTAGAAAAGTTTTTCTAAAGATTTATTGAAGCAGAAACAAGTTGCTCAGATACTTGCTGGAAAAAAAGCAGTTTTAATGGTATTCAAAAATACTTTTTAAAAAGTATTCTAGCACAAGACTTCTTCGTAAACTAGATTATGTTGTAAACTTTTTTTCTAAATCTTTTAGGAGCGTCGGTTGTTAAGATCTAGAGCTCGTTCCTATTCCAAATCTATCTTGCGCTCCTGAAAAACTGCAGAAAGGCACTTGAAAGCTGTTTCTTTAAGATATGGATTTTTTTATTCTTGCTGGTAATATACTGCTGCACTGAGTACGTACAGCTTTTATTCAAGGTCATCATGATGCTGAGAAGTTTCGTTGATAACCTGTTAAAAATAAATAAAACTCAAATCAAATATAATACTACATGCAAAAGTTTAAATTATCCCATAAATCACAGCAAAGAAAAATCTTATTAAACATATATAATTTATTGTGCCCTTTGGAAGGTCGCACTGATTCTACATGGTAAGAATTGCAGCATAGAGGGACCGATACATGTACAAAATGCCTGTCATCTATAGGCAAAATAACGATCCATGGAATTTATGACATACAAAAAGAAAACTTTTCAAAAACCTGTGTTTTTGAAGGATGCCATAAAAACTCTATGCAGCAAAGCTTAAAAGCAATAAAGGCATATTAAAATGAATGGCAAGTATATTTTGAATTTATGTGTAAGGGAAGATTTCATGATTACACTAAAGTGCAACCATGTATTTCCTAGTACAGAGCGGTAACAAGAAACCAATTGATCTGTAGACACATTCTTATATTAAATGAAGAGGTTTAGAAGTATTTAGGCAACAGTCATTAAGACAGGGCCATATGTCCAAGATTAAAAACAATCCTGATATTGAGGTAATCTGGTGAAGTAGTGTAGGAAGTAACTTAAGGAAGTTTTACTTCCATTTCAAATTAAGTACCACAACAGTTTGCTAACTCTGGAATGAAGGAAGAGAATTACTATACAATCTCATCCTGGAGCCAAATAATTACTAGGCCATGTGTATTGCTGGAACAAGCAGTTTATTCTTGTAGCAGGCATGAAAGGAAGAAATGGGAACTTCTCAAATTAGCTAGCTATTTCTGATATATGGGTTTATTGACTTGAAAGGGGATTGATACCCTTCTGAAATTACTCCATTTTATTTATTTTCTTTTAATTTGTTATTGTTTGTTTTAATTATTTTTCCATTTTTCTATTTTAAATATACCAACCTGTCCATCTCTAGTTTCAACCGTCTTAATCAGAAGTGTCCTTTTTGAGTGAGTGTCAACCAGAGGGAGTGAATCCAGATTAGTTTCTAAATAA